TGAAATCAAGATTGATAGGTCTCCCTAAAAACAAGGAGCAGAATAGGGAAGCATGTCTAAGAACTGACAGCACAGTGTTTGCCCAAGTGGTGTTTCTGGGCCTGGCAACAAGGACACAGGTTACAAGTTGTCCACCCTCAATATTGTGGTCTAGGTGAGAGCAGAAGAATGGGAAAATAGTTTTCCTGTGTGTTGATCAGCCATGAGCATCGAACAGTCTGCTTGTATCGGCGGCCTGGGTGCCGAAAGACAAGTGTGAACCACAAACCACAATGCTCATTTCCGATCTCCACCTGCAAGCTCCGCCCTATGCGTTCCATCACTTCCGGAGATTGTCTAGGGCATTTAGAGAGCAGTGATCAAGAGGATCACTAAATATAGAGGGGTAAGAATTGATGGGGGACAGAAGGCTTGATCCTGTCAGTAGTGGGTAAACTTATCAATGTCAAATATAGTAGGTCCAGAGCAGGATAGTTGTGATTCTGAAAGGATCAATACCAGACTGTGTAAAATTACTCACAGATTGATCACATTCACAGTAGATTACAGGAAAGAAAGGCCGGTTGGTTTGACAAGAACACTAAACTTAAAAAAGCTGCAATCCTTAATGCATTATATCAAATGGGAACAACTATTTATAACAAAGAACACTGAGGCTAAGTGGACTTTCTTTAAGGATATACTAAACAATAGCATTATCCAGTGCATACCATTGGGCAACAAAAATAAAAGAATACAAGTTTAATCTGCATGCCTGAATTTGAATGTAAAACAATTTATCACCAAGAAGAAGCTGGCATTTAAAAGATATATGGTGGAAGGGACAACAGTGAATAGAAATAGAAAATTCGGACAAAACGCCCCCAAAAGATTCTTCCAATACATAAACAAAAAAAAGTTAAGAAAGGAACAGGTGGGTCCCATAAAAGATGAGAATGGGAGGTTGATCATAAACAACAGGGAGATGGCTAAAGTATTAAATGCATTCTTTTGCACTGTATTTACTTTGGAAAATTACGGGTTGATTGTACACAACAAGAATCTGCGTAGCACTATGAGGAAAATACTGCTGTGGTTGACGGAAAGAGGGTTTGCCGTGGACTAGAAAAACTTAATGTGAATAAATCCCCAGGACCAGATATCTTGCACCCATGGGCACTTAAAGAGCTAAACATGATAATAGCGAGACCATTGTTCTAAATTTTCAAAGGACTCCATACTGACTGGTGAGGTACGAACTTATTGGCGTAAAGCAACTGTTGTACCAATATTTTAAAAAGCTTTGAGATGCGTACCTGGGAATTATAGACCAGTCTCCAGTAACATCCATAGTATGCAAGTTATTTGAGGGTATGATAAAGGACCATATTCATGAATATGCTGATGGGCATGATATCATAAGTGACAGCCAACATGGATTCAGGATTCATGCATTCGTGTCACACCAACCTCTTAGCGTTCTATGAGGAGGTGAGTGGCAACCTAGATGGAGGAAAGCAATTGATTTTGCAAAAGCATTTGATAAGGTACCTCATAAATGTTTAATTTACAAGCTTCACTCTTTTGGGCATTGATGAAATGGTGTGTTCATGACTAGAAAACTCTCTAAGTGAACGTGTCCAGAGAGTATCAATAAATGGATCATTTTCTGAATGGTCCTCGGTGGGCAGGGGCGTGCCCCAGGGTTCTGTCTTGGGGCCATTGCTATTCAACCTGTTTATCAATGATATTAGGACTGGTATTATTAGCAATATTTCAGTTTTTGCTGACCGTGCCAAAATTTGTAGGGCAATGAACTAGACAGAAGACATAGCAATATTACAGGAAGACCTGGATAAAACAGAGGGGTGGGCATCGACATGACAGATGTGGTTTAATATTGAGAAGTGTGAAGGTAAGCATTTTGGAATTAAAAATACAGGTGAAACTTGAATAATTAGAATATCGTGCAAAAGTAATTGCAGTAAGTGCTGCAAAAGGGGCCCAAACCAAGTACTGAGTACATATGCATGCTTGTACTTTTCAGAGGTCCGATATTGTTCTATGTACAATCCTTGTTTTATTGATTGCATGTAATAATCTACTTTTTTGAGGTTGTAGATTTGGGGTTCTTGGGGTTTTCATGAGCTGTAAGCCATAATCATCACAATTATGACAAATCACGGCTTGGATTATCTTGCTTTGCATGTAATGAGTCTATCTCATATATTAGTTTCACCTTTTAAGTTGCATTAGTGAAAAAAATGAACTTTGCACGATATTCTAATTATTCGAGTTTCACCTGTACACATGCAAGCTACTCATTAATGGGCATCCCACTGGGAAGTGGAAAAAGATTTGGGAGTGCGAGTGGACAGCCGCCTTACTAACAGCATTCAATACCAGGCAGCAGCACATAAGTTGAACAGGGTACTATCATGCATAAAAAAGGGAAATGGTAAAGACAAATCCATAATTCTGCCCCTGTACAAAACATTGGTTCAGGTTTGGTCACCGATCCACAGAAATTATGTCCTTGAGCTGGAGAAGTCCAGAGAAGCTAATAAAGGGGTTAGAGGACCTTAAATTAATTATCAGGAAAGACTGCAAGCGTTAAACTTGTTCACTCTTGAAAAGAGGTGGCTGAGAGGTGGCTGAGAGGGGACAAGATATTAATGTACAACTTGTTTAATGATGGTGGGCAATCAGTAATAAACTGTTTACGGTTAGTTCACTCAGAAAGACAAGAGGCCACCATCTGAAACTGGAAAAGAAAAGGTTTAATCCTAATCATTCACACAAGGTGTAATCCTAATCATTCACATCAGGTACTCCTAGAATGAGATCCTAATAGGTTGGACTTGATGGACTAATGTCTTTATTCAACCTCAAATACTATGTAAGGTAGAGTAGGGCCATACAGATCCGTGCATGCACGTCCGTATCGGGCCATTTCTTGGAAGGACAGGTGTTGCGTGTGATTGTACGCAGCAGCCTGTTCTTCCCTATGGGAGGACGCAGCCGTACGCTGTTGTATGCTCACCCGAGCAGGTGCGGGGGTCCGTGCTCGGTCTCACACAGGATCCATCCTGTCTGGGACCGAGTACGGACACCCGCACGGATGTGCAGCTTGGCACTGAGAGTATTGAATCATCCAAGACCCGTCTAGAGGTACAGGTAATCTTAGCAACTGAAACACACACGACCGGATTTACTCTCCCTGCTGCCCCAAGGCCAGTTTCCTCAATGCACCCCCCTCCCCACCAACCCCTCCTTTCCCCATAGAGAATGGCAAAAAGATGGTGGAGGCAGCAGGGTTAGGTTTAATTTTTTTTTTTTGTTTCTTTATTTTTTTTAACATTCTTATCAATTTTTAATTTATATTTTTTGTTTACATTTGTATTTATCTTATTTACTTTTTTTCATTTTTTATTTAAAAAAATCTTATTTTTTTACTTCCCCTTTTTTTAATGTAATGATTATTTTCTATTTATCATTTTTTTACTTATTTTTTATTTTATTTATTTAATATTTTTATAAATTTATTTCCTTTAAATTCATTGCTATCACGCAGGAGCTGACAAGCCTCTGAGTAATAGCATTTGGAGGTGACAGATTCTCTTTATTGAACCTGTCACTTCCAATACAGGAGTTCTAGCACTGTGCTGGAACTCCCGTGACAGCTGAGAGGGGAAGGTTGTGAGTGCAGCTCTCCCCTCTCACTGCTTACATGGAGCAGAGCGGAGAAGGGAATTTCTCCGATTTACTTCCTGCTCTCCTCTCTATCCTGAGGATCTCCGGCCGGCGAAGAGACGTACACGGTGGTGGGAGGAGGACAGAGCCGGGAGGATGTAGCCAGCGAGGAGAGAGGTAGGCACTGGGGGAGGACGGACCTGCAGGCTGCATACAAGTGATCTCGGCGACATCGCCAAGATCACTTGTGAACAAACAAGTGGCTTCCCCGCTCTACATTTACCCCTGCTTGCCCAAAACAGGGCTAAATGTAGAAAACAACTTAGTGCTTGGCGCCCGGAACTGAATGTCCCGGGTTTCGGGAGATTCCACACCCCTGCCGCCCCTTTGCTCCCTGCCTTTCTGAGGCCAGGCCTCGGTGGCCTTGTGGCAAATCCAGCCCTGCACACACACACACACACACACACACACACACACACACACACACACACACACAATACCACATAGGTTGAACTCGATGGATCTCTGTCTTTATTCAACCTTACCTACTATGTAACTATGTAATTTGAACTGCAAGAAGCATTTTTGAAATATTTTGTTTAGCTTAATGTGAATGGGAACATGTAACAAATATAATATAGGCGTTATCCCAATTTGCCTGCAAAAGATAAAATACATCTTAAACTTTACTTTTAAACAAGTGCAGTTTTTTTTCTACCACTCCTTGATTTACCTTTTTTTGGCCCGAAGTTTACAAATATTTTTTTCACCTGTTAACGTGCTTTTGTCCGACTAACTCTGTTGTCAGACTGGTTACTAGATTGTCTCCAAACTATAAGCATTATGTACTTTTCATGTTCCCGTTTCATTTACTCTGGTACACTCCCCTGGAGATTAGCATTACATATTCTCTGCTGCGAACTGAGCCAAAGGTTCCCATAATGCCAAACAACATTGGTAGATGCAATATTCTGAGCAGGGCTTTAGCCTCTGTGGAGATAACACTATAAGGTCAATTAAAAAAATAGAGTTCTCACTTTTAAAAGTAAATTTTTCAGTTAGCTTAGTCAATAAGGTGAAGTCATGTTCACATTGAATACCTACAGGGTTATTCTCAAAAGGGTGAAGAGTTTGGAGAAGGCTGGAGAAGTAAACAATCTAGGACAACATAGCTAAACTGGAAAGGGAGCAGAATTGCAGAATTTTTCAAATCAGCTATGTTTTCCTAGATTGTTCACTTCTGCTACCTTCTCCAAACTCTTCACCTTTTAGTCAATAGTCCTGCTAATCATGTTCAAGAGATTTTAAATAAAATTAAACATTCTAACCTGCTCTTGCAAACCACTGTTCCTGCTTTGTATTGTGTCCTTTTCCTGCAGGGCATGAGAGTATCGCATAGAGAGTTCATATTGTTCATCTTTTAGTTTGCTCAGCATTTGACTCTGAGCATCCAACTCTCTGCGAAGTTTTTGATTTTCATATTCCATGCTGCGAACACATTCTCCTTCTTCTTCCAGTTGCTGCTGCTTCTCATGCATTTTGCGCAGGTGGTGCGCTAATGTTCTTTTTAGCTGTTTCTCCTGATTCAACTCATCTTGCTTAATGCTCAGCGCTTTCATCAGAAGTACACTCAGCTGACTGCTGTCTATAAGTTCTGCATAAAAAAATGAGGTTTATTGAAAGATGGAACTGAATGACGTGTACCCAGTGCATAGACTCTAGGGGGTTGATTTACTGAAAGGAAACAGGCAGTTTACTTTGAAAGGGAATTTTCACCTTGCACGGGACGCTTCCCCTAATTTTAGTGAATGCGTTGAAACTCTGTTGACTTCATCCATCATCCAAACATGTGCAAGCAAAAATACTGTTTTTTACTTTGCTTGCACATGATTAGCTATTCTTACCAAAGTGACATTTCACCACAATCACTATGCTAAGGGAAATCTTCCCTTGAAAAGTTCAATTTCCCTTGCAAATTAAACCGCTTCTTTGCCTTTAGTAAATCAACTCCTAGGTCCTTACCATTTTGAATACACTAATGTGGCCATGCTGTATTGATGGAGAAAAACTCAGTGGTTCTGAGTGCGGCTCTGGGAGGGTATTTAACCTCTCCATGCTGTGAGGCCTGTGCCTTAGTATTGTTGCCATATCCTGTTTCCTGTAAACCAGTATCCAGTTTCCGGTAACCAGTATCCTGTCTCCTGTAACCAGTAACCTGTTTCTGCCTTGGTTTGATATATCTATTAAACTATCATTCACAATGATTGTTATGGTATCTGCAGTGCTGTCACATATCGGTTCACCTGTATAGGTACCTGCACGTGGTGTTGGAACACCCGTGCTCGGTATCGTGACAGATATGAAGAGAAAAGCGAACCAAAAAAATTTAATTTTCTGTGTTCATATACATTAGCAGCATATGCCTGCTTCATGTTCACTCGGTGTACATTGCTGGCATATATTTTTTAATCACTTGAAGACCAGGTGTTTACACCCCCTTCCTGTCCAGCCCATTTTTCAGTATTTAGCTCTGTGGTACTTTGACTTACATTTATTCCTTCATGCAACGTTGTACTGAAATGAATTTTACACCATTGTTTGGGGACAGATAGAGTTTTCTTTTGGTGGTATTTAATCACCACTGGGTTTTTAATGTTTTACTATATAATGAAAAAAGAACCAAAAATTAAAAAAATATATGTTTTCCCTACGTTATGTTAAAAAACATTTATTCTTACCTATATTTTTGATAAAATATAAAAGACGGGGTCACGTCAGGTATATAGACACCAAACATGTCAAGCTTTAAAATTACATGCGCCTGCAAAATTGCAATAAATTACTATACCCAAAACTGGCCATATGTGACGCTTTAAAAGCTTTTACTGCTCATCAATTTAGTGTTATCAGTGAATAATGGGCCTAAAATTATTGCCCTCACTCTGACGTTCGCAGTGATATGCAACATGTGCGGCGTAATGGGTGCAATCGTCGTTTTCACGTGTTTGCGTGCGTGTATGTGGGGCTGGGACTTTTTAAACAATTTTGTGGGTTTTTTTAAATTCTTTTTTATGTGTGACTTGAATTTTTGGGGGAACTTTAATTTTTTAAAAACGTTATTATTATCACATAGGGGGGGCAAAGAGGATGTGACAAGTCCTCTTTATGGAGACATCAGGGGTCTTTAAGACCCCTGTCACCTAGGGACCCCCAAAGAAGCTGATGAAGCAGAAATGGGGCGGGGATAACAGGCCGTCTTTAGACCGGTTACATCCAGGAAGCTCCCGGCCGGCCGTTTAATTACAATGGCTGGCCAGGAGACGGTTAAAAATACCTCTACAAAGGTGGAAATGGGCTTTAAGGAACATATTTTTGTATATGGGAAATCTGTAGACAAACCACTGAATATAAAATGCTTGCTTAAAAATGCAATATCTATAAAGTAGACTAGAGTCAAATTTAGTTTATTTTCATAGTTTTAGAGAGTGAGGAATAAAAGCACTGGGTTTTTTTCCTTTGTGAAAATGGAGAAAATCTCCCCAACAGGGGACGCAGTAATAAAATATGAGAGAGGTTCTAACCCTTCGCCATTCTAGCCAAAATTATGAAATAAACTTTTCCCTGGAGTTTTACCTTAGTCTGTTTCTATCTATCTGTCTAACTTGGTATTTGCACCCTTACAAAAAGGAACATTTATTGACTGCAAAATGTGGTTATATGCAAAAAATATCCCAAATCCACTTAAAGGAGAACTATGGGGTCAGTGTTTTTCCCCATAGTTCTCCTTAGGATAACGGGAGGACACAAAATAGCGTCCTCCCATTACCCTAAGCTCAGTATACCGCAAGCTACAGCCGTGACAGGATCGAGAGGTGAGCGAACTTGGTATGTGTTCGCTCACCTCCCGATCTACTGAGCTGACCTGTGACAGTCTCATTGTCACAGGTCGGCTAGAACTATGAGGTGAGTGGAAATCACTCATCTCATAGTTCTCCTTTAATCATAAAGGAAAAACAGTATTTTTTCATATTGTGTTGAGGTTTAAGAGGCAGTCATTAAATGACTGACTCTGATTACTCATTGGTCTACAGCTAGGATACATAAGTAGATGAAAAGATAGCTAGATACATAGATTGATACTGTTTTTTTTCAGATCTTTTATATCTTAGACAAACATTTTAGATGGTCTATCCAGCCCTTGAGAGGGCAGTTATCACTGCCATCAACCAAGAGCAATTGCACCCACAGCCCCCATTAATTGACACCCTTGAATGAATGAATTTGATCTTACTGCTGAAGCTGTTGGGATCCATGGATGGTTCCTTTCCTGTGATAAGGGTATACATTCCTTTATTTGCCAATATCAAGCTATCCAGGAAAGCAATGGCTCCGTTCTTCCCTCTTGTTCGAAGTATATCCAAAAGGTGCCCTTTAAATGCACATTAAGAAGTTAATGAAACAAACAACAAAGGGGAGAACTGTAAAGAATGCAAACACAGGTTGTTGTAATACAAAGGGGTCTATTTAAAAAAAAATGCATTGCTATTCATCAAGTGAAACGGAATGTACAAATTCCGTACAATTCCGTACAAATTATAAAAAATGTTAGGAGAATGGGGCAAAATCAAATAATCTTAGTATATTTTCTCTTCTGGCTGAATGTTCTTTCTTCATCACTGAAAGTCATTACAGTATGCCAATGTCAATGTTCACATTAATAGCAAGCCATTGTTCAGCTTTCACAGTTGTAAACACCTCTGTCAATCAAGCATAGCAGCATCAAAGTGACATTAAACTCAAGAGTTAAATCTAAAAATGCATTCAAATACCCTATTAAAAACTGGACCTTATCTGTGCATCACTGAGTTGTAGATCCTAAAATCATCTCTGAATTCATGCTACCACTGTGCTTTCTTCTGGAGGGTGGCTACTTTTGTTCCCCATGGTACCTGTGTGTGGTGTAAAGTTGCCACCACCCCAAGCTTATTCTCAATACAAATGAGTAAATTAAACGTGAGATCGTAGTCCATCACTTGGGGTGATGGCTACTTTACAATACACACAGGGACTTGGCCCTTAAACTATAGGTGTGAATGAGGGCTTATGAACATATGGCAGTGCTGGGCTCTTAATGCATATTTTGGGATAACATTTTTTTTTCTACTTCTGAAAAGAGTGTACAGGTTAGAAACTCTGCCATGTTTTCATTTCAATGTCATATATGTAAGCAGGAAGAAAGTAGATAAGACACTAGACAGCACCATGAGAATAACTTCTTAATTCAATAAACTATTTTTTTTTTCAGTACAACAATTTATAAAGACAATATTTTATAAATAAGAAAGCGTACACACCCATTTCTCATGAAACAGGACAACCTTGCCCAAACATACACCCGCCCTAAGCCCCCTAATTACTCGGGATATCCAAAATGTTCCCAATGGACGTCCCTTTTTTGAAGTGGATACAAATGATGTGTTAAGAAAATTTTAATGAGTTGTGGATTTTAGATTGGTCTAGTCATTGGTATTGATGTGAAATCACTGTACACATGTCACAGTCTGGGATCAGGCTTGGAGACCAGTAGCTGTTAGTCTTGTCAGTGTTCAAGAAGAAGTCTGTAGCCAAAGCTACCAGGTTTAAAGTGGAGAGCGATAAGCTTGGTCGGTGAATTGGCAGACAAGGGTCGGTAAACATGTAAAGAAATAAAGGATGCAGTTTAGCAGTATCAACAAGATACTAGCAGGTGCACAGCTTAACCACTTGAAGACTGGGGTGTTAAACTCCCTTCCTGGCCAGGCCATTTTTCAGTATTCAGCTCTGCAGTACTTTGATTGACATTTATTCAGTCATGCAACGCTGTACTGTACTGAAATTAGTTTTATATCATTTTTGGGAACACATAGAGCTTTCTTTTCGTGGTATTTAATCACCACTGGGGTTTTTATTTTTTTACTATATAAAGAAAAAGTAGCAAAAATTTTGAAATTATTTCCCCCCCTACTCTATGTTATAAAACATTTATTATTACCCAATTTGTTGCTAAAATACAAAAGACGCGGTCACTTCAGGTAAATAGACACCAAACATGATTTTCCATAGGCGATGCTTTGAAAGCTTTTACCGCTTATTAGTTTAGCGTTAACAGTGATTGATGGCTCTAGAATTATTGATTTCACTCCGACGTTAGTGGTGATATGTAACGTGTGCACAATGGGCGCAATTGTCGTTTACACACGTAGGCCCACCCGACACAAGTATGCACATGAGGGCTTTAACATTTTTTGGTGTTTTTTTTTATGTGTGACGTTCATTTTTAGTAACTTTTCTCACACTTAACTTTATAGTTATCATATAGGGCTAAGAAGCCCTTATGTGATATCAAATTTACAGTGACAGGTCCACTTTATGGAGACATCAGGGGTCTTTAAGACCCCTAATGTCACCTAGGGACCCCCAAAGAAGCTGATGAAGCCAGAGAATGACAGCTGAATGTGGGAGTAATGTAATACACATCATTCCCACATGCCTACATATGCATACACACACTTGGGCCATACTTCTTTTCTGAGCATTCAGAATTGGAAATTCACACCTTTTTGGGTCTATTCATTTTAATTATTATTAAAGCATATAAGGTGTATGTATAGACAACATATCAACATATTTTTTTAATAGAGCAGGGAATTTATTTCTTGCTGTTGCATCCCAGTGTGGAGATTTCCTCACACTTCCTGGTGACATAAGGAATGGGAAATTCTGCTTAAGGTGACCAAATGCTATTGTACAATGTAATTGTACAATATCCTTAGACCTACCATGTAATATAAGGGCCTACCTGTTTGATACAAATGCAATTAATTGTTTAGGTTTGTCTTCATATTACATTGTTTTTAGTAAGTCTAAAGGAAATTGTACATAGATTGAGTAATCAGATTGTATAGTGTATGACCAGTTTTATACAGTTGTCACCAGAACAAGACTTCCCCTCTATTCCTAATAAAACTGTAAAATCTTGGAATTCCCATCACTGTCTGTCTCAGTGGCCTTGTCCCCTAGGACAAAAGGAAAGGGTTAATCTTCCCAACAAAGACACTGACAAAAATAAAAATCTGAAAAAAGGGTTTCAACTCTTTTGCCACTCTGTCCAAACCTAGAAAAAAAAAAAAGTTTTGCCTATACATACACTTTTTTTCTTCCCCTAAAAATGGTATTCTACATATAGCACAGCTGATTGTATTCCTTCTCTGGTGCTGTCCTCGCATACTGTGTATAATGCTATGGTAAAATGACAAAAAAAAATGCTATGCACAACAAACGATTCAACATCACTTGGATAGTAGAACGTGACCAGTTCGACTCACCCAGCCTCATAACCCTGGTTGAAAACTTGGCACAGTGCAGGACCTCCTCTTCATCCATGGCATCCAACACTTTGGTTTGTCGCAGGTATGGTGTGAGACGTTCTGGTGACAGTTTCTGTACAATTTTACACCTGTGCTTCTCAATCATTTCCCATAGCTCCTCTTCATCCATGTCCGTTAGCTCCGGGTCAGCCTTCCACTGTGCTGACATAATTGTCTATGATATACAACCTGAAAAGAGAATTAGGGAACCGTGGTTATTGCTATATGTACACACCTGAAAAGAATTCCGAGATAGAAGTAAGTAAAATGATCTTAATGTAGTGCCAAGGTTCAGCCACAATTTATTTACTTCCTCGTTAGTGTGAAATATATGAAAGCACAAAGACATAAAAGTATTGTAAACCATATACACTATTATTAAAATAAAATTCAGTAAGAACTCACCTCAAACTAAATCCATATATCTTTATCAAAATGTACTGTGCACAAAAGAGTTCCAGCTCTAGAGAGAAACAGGAAATGAAAATAAGAAAAGTTGTTTCACGCATAGATCTACTTTTACAATTATGTCACTAATGTAGATACGTAGGTAGCTACATAACTGGAATTTCACCCCCAGGGCTGCGTAATTTTCCAACCTGCACAACAAAAAAAATATTGTGCTTTCACTAGAGCACAAAGTTCACCTCTCAGGATATCTGTGCATAACCACATACTGATTATTTCAACAAGACTTTTCAGCATTGTTTTATTATTATTGTTTAGATTTATGTTAAATTTGGGTAATGAGAATCGCTATTTAATGCTGAACTTCTGCAAACCGCCAAATACACAGTGAAATATATATATAAGAAAGCGAATTAACCCACTAAATGATTTGTATTTCTGTCCATCCATTCCTGTGATTACACAGCCTGGTGGATAACACCACTTATAGTTATTGATTACAGTGGGGAGCAAAGTACAGGAGGAAGTCAAGAATCATTTATTGGACAAGAGACATATAGGGCAATTCAGTAAAGCCTTAATGGTACTTTTATAGCAGCATGGACCTATAAAAGGTCCTGGGCCTAATTTAAAAAAAGCCTTGTCGCCAGTTTCAGTAGCTTTACCGACACTTGTGACAGATTCAAGAAGTTCTTAATACTGCCACTTTAAGAATCTGTTGCTATGGCTGCAACAGATTCAAAACGAATTACAGACAGTTTACAGATTGGAAAACTGTCGGTAATTAAGACCAACTCTGCTCTGGCATCCAGAGAAACACCAGTGCTTAGAGTGGGACATGTAAGTTTTGAATCTTACAGCTTCCAGTTCGGACACTGGACAACCACAGTCCTAGCAACCAATTATGCATCCCCAGCCCCATTCAGCCTGGATATTCCCCAGCCAGCAACTGAATGTAAACAAAGGGGCCAGGGATGCTGGCTGACATCATTATCCAAATATAGTCATATAGGGGTAATGAAGTCATCCAGAATCCCCCCTTGTTTACATTTAATTGACAGCATCCAGTGGGCAGGTGCCATAGACAATAGCAGGCTGGCTATGGCATCCGCCCACTGCCTGATGTCAATCAGCAGCAGTGCAAACCTGATGGGGAACTCATTTTTCAGAATTCTTCATCAGGCTCTGCCCACTGTTAGCATTACAGCATTAAGGATGCTGTTAGCTTTAGCTGATAACTTACTTAACAACCAGTGATACCCGCTGGCAATGGGCAGAGCCTGATAGGGAATTCAGAGAATAGAGTTCCGCCATCAGGTTGACTCTCCTGCTGGTTGACAGCAGGCAGAGTGTCATAGCCAATAGCAGACTGACTATGGCATACACTCACTGCCTGCTGTCAATCTGCAGCAGTATAAATCTGATGGGGAGCTTAGTTCTCTGAATTCCCCATCAGGCTTTGCCCACCCAAAATATAAGTCTTTCACGTCACCTACCTGTATGACTGGTTCAGTGGCCGGGTGGGAGCTCAGTAATGCTAATCCTGTAATCTTATCAGGCTCAGCATTACTGAGCTGCACTGAGTATGGAGTGTTCATTATAGACACTCAAACCTCATTGGGCCTCCACATCGCAAATGTTGGTGCTTGCGTCAAATTAATTTACCTGTTTGAAACCGACATTTGTTGTGATGGTAGGTCTCTTCTGTAAGAAAATACCTTCCTAATTGCCATTTTCTGTTTTTAGGCCACAGTTCCAGTTTAAAAAGCAGTGCTGTTCTTATCAGGAAATGCTCCATCGTTTCCAGGTAATGGACGAGCTTGCTTCTAAGCTCTGACCCTAAACCACTCTAATGACTAGCACTATCTACTAGCTACAGTAGCACTAGCTACTTACTGGCCAAAAGGAACATGGGGCCGGGGGGAAAATGGGGCAAGCTTCGCTAGTATGAAAAAGTGCTGAAACTTTGCCTGCTCAAAATGGTCCAACATTTGGCTCAAGCAGAGGCAAACAATAGTGAAATCCCCTGCAGGTATGTGCAGGCACCTCTGGGTGTGAGAGAGTCTCTTTAAGGCCTCATTCACCCCTGCACTTAGGGTCAACAGTGGCAGGAATCCAGTGAATTCCTGTGGCTGGGATGACAGGTGGTGGGGACAGCTACGACAGATCAACCTGTACAAAGCAAAAGGGGGCTGCCATTTGCACGTCATCACACATGGAGCGATTACCTGTGGTTAGGGACAGATGGTCACCCTGGATGCAAACAGTTTGCATCCAGAAGTGATTATCTGTCTCTAACCGCAGGTAATGTACGATTACATGTGAAAGGCTGAGGACAGCCGCAGCTGCTGTCAGCCTCTCATTGCTTTGTTCAGGCTAATCTACCACCTATTGCCTTCCCAGCCACATAAAGTTTCTGGATTACTGATGTTGTCATCCCTAATTGCAGATGAGGCTTAACGCAATGGCTGCCTCTGTGATAACACAGCTCCCTCTTAGTGCCTGTATGTACAATTACTTTTATGGTAAAATGCCCAGCTGACCTCAAGAGCCAGGTGCATTACAGGGCAGACTATAAGGAGAAGAGATCAGCACCCAGTTTCTATAGTAAATTGGACAGTTTACAACAAACGGTTGCTGCACGCAGGCACCAGGAGGGAGCGACTGCCTGTAGCTGAAGTGGAAACCACAATTGCTTTTCACTTAGGTATATAGCAATATTGTTTATTTAACTACTTCTGATGACAAAAGACCTGTGTCAGTGGACTTTTGTTCCCTTCAGAGGGTTTTGCATTTCCATAAAAGTCAATGGGAGTGCAGAACCTGCTTGAACAAGGTATATTTGTAAAGGTGTGAACCCATCCTTAAAATGACTCCAAACTGAGGAGTTAAAACTTAAAAATCTAAGTACCTTAACTATTAATAAAAGGTATGTAATTTGTGCATCACTCGGCTGTAGACCCTCAAATCATCTCTGAATTGGTGCTGACACTGTCCTTCCTTCTGGACAGTGGCTACTTTTGTTCCCCATGGTCCCTGTGTGTGTTGTGAAGTAGCCACCACTTCCACCTCGCTCCTGTGATAGAATATAACTTCAATACATATTAGCTAACTAAACGTGAGATTGTAGTCCATCACCGTCACTATTTGAGTACTCTGACAGTGGCACACTGTTGGTGTGCTGTTGGTGTGGCTGGAACAATCTGTTTTTTTTTCCGATCAGCCTGCAGGCTCTATGGCTAGTTTAAGGCTTAAGTCTGAGGCCTAGGTTACCATGCACTTGCAGATGTTATTTATCCAGGAAAGTGTGGAGCCTAAACCTGGGAAGATTCACCAAGTAGGGACTTTGGTATAATGTGCCTGAGGTGGCCGTGGACCTTACAGGAAGTTGGTACCTTGCCCAGGAAGATGAAAATGCATATGCTATCACATAGTTGCCAACTTTTTTTTGCTGTGCATCCAGCAAGCCATTGTAGGTAAAGAATGTACTTTATTAGGGGCGAGGCACATTGGCATAATGGCATCCCAATCTTGGTCCATAGGATTCAATATTGAGTTGACCCAGTCTTTGCCGCTATAACAGCTTCAAGTCTTCTAGGAAGGCTGTCCACAAGGTTTAGGAGTGTGTCTATGGGAGTCAAGTTCCTCCACCCCAAGTCCCTCCACCACTCCAGAGAACACGTCTCCACTTCTCTAGAATCCAGTGGCGGCGTGCTTTACACCACTGCATCCGATGCTTTGCATTGCACTTGGTGATGTAGGGCTTGGATGCAGATGCTCGGCCATGGAAACCCATTCCATGAAGCTCTCTACACACGGTTGTTGTGCCAATCTGAAGGCCACATGTAGTTTGGAGGACTGTAGCTATTACTCTGCAGACAGTTGGCGACTTCTGTGCACTGTGCGCTTGAACATGCGCTGACCCCGCTCTGTCTTTTTCCACTTGCCCTACCACTTTGTGGCTGAGTTGCTGTTGTTCCCAGTTGCTTCCACTTTCACACTGTAGAGTTAGCATTAGGGTGGAACGGTGCCGATGACCGTGTTGAAAGGACTAAAGAAAGGTCCCACTGGGGAAATAAAATTTTCCTCGGAGGTTGAAGCTTGAAACATGTTTTCAGAAAGCGGATTACTAGCGGATTGAGTGCCCATCTGGTGTTCGACAACGCAGAGACTGCGGAGACGTGAACTCGGAGCGTATTCCAGCTGAGCCCCAAGTCCAGGCCGCTTTGTAAAAAGTCGAGAACGTTGGAGACTGAGGGAATCTGTGGATCAAAACCCTCTCTCCCGGCTGCAGAGATGAACCTGGACCAGATCGCTCGGTACGTGGCATTGGTGGATGCCTTCCTGGCTTTCAACAGGGTAGATATGACTGAGGAGGAGCATCCTAAGGTCGAGAGGCTGTGCCGCTCAATCTCCAGGCCGTCATATGGAGCCTCTCCGGAGTTGGATGTAGGAACGGACCCTGCGACAGGAGGTCTTGCCGAGGAGGAAGGAGGATTGGAGGCTGAAGGCTCAGATGAATGAGTAGGGAGAACCATGGTCTCCTGGGCCAGTATGGAATGATCGCTATTATTGTGCCCGGAAATAGGGACACTCTGTGCAGGAATCTCCCGATCAGCGGGTATGGTGGAAAGGCGTAGCCGATAGTGAACTCCCACGGAAAGGTCAGGGCATCGACCCCGAATGCCAGTGGAGTGCGAAACCTGGAGAGAAATCGCACGCACTTCCTGTTCTCCTGAGTGGCCATCAATTCGATGTCTGGTACGCCTCAGCGGCTGGTGATGTCCCGAAAGACCTCCCAATTCAGTTCCCATTCGTGGGGGCGGATTGAATGGCGGCTCAGGTAGTCCGCTAGGACATTCTGCTCCCCGCGCAGATAGGTCGCCTTCAGATTCCAAAGGTGACTCTGGGCCCAAGACAACACTGACTCCACCTCTCTGAGAAGGGTCCTGCTGTGCGTCCCCCCTTGCTTCTGTATGTATGCCACCGCTGATACATTGTCCACCAATAAATGGACAGTCCGGCCGTGCAGAAGGTGGGCAAAGGCCTGAAGAGCCTTGAAT